ATTCACAATAAAAATGTATATATATATATATAAAAAAGCAAGGCTCAAGAAATTGACAGAATTCACATTGAAATCTTTCAACAAACTGATGTAGCACTGGAGGCACTCACTTTTCTAATGTGAAGAAATTTGGAAGATAGCTACCTGGCCAACTGATTGGAAGAGATCCATAGTTGTGCCCAGTCCAAAGAGAGGTGACCCAATGGAATGTGGAAATCATAGAACAACCTCATTAATGTCACATGCAAGTAAAATTTTGCTAAAGGTGATTAAAAAAATGGTCGCAGTAGTACATTGACAGTGAACCTATTAGAGGTTCAAGCCGGATTCAAATGAGGACATGGAACGAAGAATTTCACTACTGACGTCAGATGAATGTCCTGAAAGCAGAGAATGCCAGAAAGATGTTTACCTGTGCTTTATTGACTATGCAAAGACTTTCGACTGTGTGGGTCATGATAAACTAAGGACAACATTGAGGAGAATGACTATTCCAGAATGCTTAATTGTGCTGATGAGGAATCTGTACTTAGACCAAGAGGCAGTGGTTTGAACAGAACAAGGGAACGCTGGATGGTTTAAAATCAGGAAAGCTGTGTGCCAAGGTGTTATTCTTTCACCGTACTTATTCAATTCATATAACAAGCAAATAATCTGAGAAACTGGATTATGTGAAACAGAATGTGGCATCAGGGTTGGAGTAAGGGTCGCTAACAACCTGCGATATGAAGATGATACAACTTTGCTTGCTGAAAGAGAAGAGAACTTAAAATAGTTAATGATGAAGATCAAAGAGCACAGCCTTTGGTATGGGTTGCATCTCATTGTAAAGAAAGCAAAAATCTTCACCACTAGCACAATAAATAACAACATGATAAATGGAGAAAAGATTGAAGTTGTCAACGACTTCATTTTGCTTCTATACACTATCAACACTTAGCAGAAGTTAAGAAATCAAACGATGCATTGCATTAGGCAAATCTTCTGCACAAGACCTCTTTAAAGTGTTTAAGAGCTAAGATGTCAGTTTGAGGACTAAACTGTCTGACTCGAGCCATGGATTTTTCAACAGTCTCATATGCATGTGATAATTTGGAGAATGAATAAGGAAGACCATAAACAAATTAATGCATTTGAGTTATGGTGTTGGGAAAGAATATTGAAAGTGCCATGGACTGCCAGAAAAACAAACAAACCTGTATTGAAAGAAGAACAACCCTAAATCTCCTTAGAAGCCAAGGTGGCCAGACTTCTACTTTCATGCATTAGACATGTTATTAGAAGGGACCAGTCCCCAGAGTAGGACATCTTGCTTGGTAAAGTGAAGGAACAGCTAAATTCATGACTTTACATGTCAATATATAATTGAAGTCCAAGATAGTATGGCTGGTCAAAAGTCTTACGGATAGTAAATGATCGAATCCAAAATTTCTAGAACGTGTTTCTCTTTCTATATTATGGTTATCTGCCTACCTCAACTCTACATCTTCTTTTGCTAATGTGTTCTTTATATAACTCCATAACTTTTATTATGTCCACAGAGTTGTGCAGCCATCACCACTACCTAATTGATAACATGTCCATCACCCCAGACAAACTCCATACCCATTAGCAGCCGCTCTCATTCTCCCCAACCCTCTTCTTTCTTCTGCCCTAACCTAGGAAACCACTAACCTACTTCTGGCTCCATGGATTTGCTGTGCTGCATAGTTCACATAAATGGAATCATATCTACTGTGGTGTTTTGTGTTTGACTTCTTACTTCGCCTATGTTTTCAAGGTTCATCTATGTTTCAGCATTTGCCTTTTTGTTTCATTTGGTTTGGCCAAGACCTCTTCTCCTAACTACCTTATTCCTGATCTATCTTTAGATATAAAATTAAACTCTAAATATGCCTCCAAAAAACCACTCAGATACATTACCCAGCTCTACTTGGTTAGAGAAAAGTCCTGGTGTGGCGCTGTAGGATAAGCACTGGACTGCTAACCACAAGGTTAGTGATTCAAACCCACCAGCACTATTATGAGTAGGAACTGACTTGATAGCACTTCACAACAACAACAGCAGTTGTTTAGAGAAGATAGAAGGAAGCACAGAGTTTATTTTATTGGCCCCCATCGTGAGGGGAATAATACGTATAGTGCTGGAAATTCACCATAGAGCTTGGTCTTTTAGTCATTAATATTTTCTTATCTATAGTCTCTCTAGACTGCCTTGAATTGGGCACTCTGAGAAAGGCTGTAAAGGGTAAGAGAACGACCTTGTGGTGTCCTCCAAGGATTCTTCTCTTTCCGAGTTCAAGGGTGAATTCTTTATTTAATCTTTAACAACATTTATTTCAGCTTGATTTTCATTCTTAATTCTCAGGGTCTTTCTTGACCACAATCCTTATTTCCATCCCAAATGTGCATAATCTTTTTTGTAGCTTTCTTCCTGAAACAATGAACAACGTTGAGTTTAAAATAGGTTTCAAAAAATATGCAAATTCCCTAGTAAATGGAAATCAGAGAGGGCAAGGAGCGGAACCTAAGTACAGATGAAAAGAACATTTTGGCTGTTGATATCTGTTCATGGGTTTGGAGAAAGGAGCATTGTGGAGGAGGCTTCAAGAAATTCACGAAAATACTGGTAGCGTAATGGTTACGAGTCGGGCTGTGAACCTTAAGGCCAGCAGTTTGAAACTACCAGCCGTTCCGCGGGAGAAAGATGTGGCGTTCTGCTCCCGTAAAGATTTACAGCCTTGGAAACCCTGTACAGGGTCGCTATGGGTTTGGAATCTACTCGACGACTCGACAGCACTTAACAACAACAACAACAATTCCATTATAGTTTCAGTCTATTTTCCCATGAACACTTTGAAGCCTCCTCTTATACTGCAATCCACTTTTTTTTTTTTCTTCATTCTTTTATCTTTTTCAGAACTCAGGGTCAGAGAATTGAGTGACAAGCAAGATCTTCAGTTCACAGCAGACCATTATCATCAGCTCATTCAAGGCCCTTCTTTGATTTTGTTAATTTTACCTCTTCATCTCTTATCCCTTCTTACTTTTATCCCCTTCCATAGATTACCCCTCTCTCTGTTTGATATGTGCCCATAAGAGGCATGGATCTTTATATACTATTTAGTGTTGTTGGGAGTAAATAAATATTACACAAATAATATGGCATAAATTTCATTTTGTTTCTATTTTTTTTAAACTCATCACTAAATTGTTAAAGGCTACCCATGTTGCTGGATTTGCATGGAATTTATTGTTGTAAGTGTTGCATATCACATTTGATGGCACAGCCACTACATTTTATGTTTCCATTCCTCTTGCAATGAATACCTGCCATAAACCATGACACAATGAACATCCTCAAACTTGTCCCTTTAAAGACTTGATGAATCATTGCTTTGATAGCTATGTCTAGAAGAGGAATTGGAAGATGAGAGGAGCTAGACGTACTATCATCTTCATCCAACCTTGCTTTTTATCACAGACCCTCTCAGTCCCCACTCTTACTGTAGTCACTGGTGCTAGAGACTCCTGGGTGCTCGTGTAGTGTGGTAGTGGCTCACCCCTCAATCCCTGCTTATAACTGAGGCAAAGGTGTGGGGTGCTCACACCATACAGCCAAATGTGGGAAATTAGCATTCATGAGACTACTCCTGCCATGGGAGTTAGGAGCCAAGGAATAAATGATTCCCTTTGCACCTCCTGCCCAGGATTCCTGGTTTGGCACTGTCGGATAAATACTGGACTTCAGATCCAAAGTCAGCAGTTGAAACCCACCATCTGCTCCTTGGAAACTCTATACAGGGTCGCTATGAGGCGGAATTGACTCTACAGAGCTTAACAACAACCACCACCCCAGGAGAACTGAATTCTGAGACACAGCTCATAAGGTTCTTACGAAGATCGCAGTGGGATTGAGTGCCAGTTGGCAGCACAGATTGCCAACTTGAAAATGCATCCTTCTATTGCTTTTCCCTCCTCTGTGTCAGTCCCCCAAGTCCTCATCCCTGTTTCCTGGTGATACTTTCCACATGAACCAACTATACACAAGCTTTGTTTCAGGCTCTGCCTTCATGGGTACCCCATACAACATTACCCCGAAGTGCTCCCAGATTGCTTTCCGAAGTTAGTTTGGCCAGTTCTCTAACTTGCAGATCAGAGACTGGCCATTTCAAAACCGTAGAGGACCACTTTTTGACATGTGGTTTTGTCCCCTCCTAAAAGGAGCTCTGGTAGCGTAGTGGTTATGATTCGGGCTGCCAACTGCAAGATCAGCAGTTCAAAACTACCAGCAGTCCCACAAGAGAAAGATGAGGCATTCTGCTCCCGTAAAGATTTACAGCCTCGGAAACCCTGTGCAGGGTTACTATTAGTCAGAACCGACTCCACGGTACTTAACAACAACAACAAAAGGCATACAATTGTAGTTGCTCCCTATGTAGGATCTTTTACCCAGGGGGGTCAGTGATTTTCCTTTCTACCCCTAATGCAGCTATTTTTAAAATGTCGTTGCAATATGCATGTCCTGGTAATTATAAAATACCTCTCCCAAACATTGCTCTTTACCTTGTTATGATTTGCGACCTCTGATCCCAGACATAGTCCCTGGAGGTGCCACAACAGAGTATTGTTTTGAAAAATTGCTTTTCATTGTGTGTTAGTATAGAAGCATGGCATGGTTTATATTTTCTTTTGAAAGTTAGTTGCAGTCAGCTGATATCCTTGAATATGCACTTGTTCTACTTGTCACAATGTCACCTGTGTTAATTTATGAAAAAATGACCATTGCCTTGAGCAGACCCAGGTGGCCGTGAAGGCTTTTTTTGTGCATGTATGCCAATCCACTGTATGGGGTGCATCATCATGAAAAAAGCATAAATCATAACCACCTGGCACGGTGCCGGGGATCCCAGACGTTTCCTCAAGGGGATGTGTGTTCCTTCTCATGTTGGAATTGCTTTAAAAATCTTACCACCCAATCTGGTTTGTTTTGTGAACAGGTGGTTAATACCTACACACCAGGAAAGAAGATTTGGCTAGAAGGCATGGTGACCACCTCGGCTGGGGGCACGAACAATCTGTCTGATTCCTATGCTGCAGGATTCTTGTGAGTGACACTTGCCATTTCACTCCTGTGGAGCTTTGAGAAAAGAATGACAATGAACCTCAGACCCTGCCCCTTACTCTGCCCCCTCGGGGGCATGTGAATGTGTTTAACCATTCAACAAATAGTGATTGGTGTCTTCTTTAGCTACTGCAAGGAGCCCTGGGAGCATAGTGGATTATGAGCTGGGCTGCTAACCGCAAGTTCAGTGGTTTGAATCTTCCAGTTGCTCCATGGGGGAAATATGAGGCCTTCTGCTTCTATAAAGATTAATAACCTCAGAAAACCTATACAGGATCACTATGAGATGAGTCGGAACCAACTCCATGGCACACAACCGCCACCACCACCTAGATATACAATGTCAGGCAGGCATCCCAGCAAAGATGGTACTTGCAGTAGTAGTAAGAATGACATCAAACGTAACAATAATAAGAGCTTTATTTAATGTCTCTAGTGTAAAACAGAAGGAGCTCTGGTAAAACAGAAGGAGCTCTGGTAGCGTGGTGGTTACGAATCAGGCTGCGAACCACAAGATCAGCAGTTCGAAACTACCAGCTGTTCTGTGGGAGAAACATGAAGCGTTCTGCTCCCGTACTCGGAAACCCTGTACAGGTTCATTATGAGTCAGAACCGACTCCACAGCTAACAGCCACCACCACAGTGTAGATAACATACAGTTTTCTTTCCAATTCTCACCAGAGTTCTAGGGGATAGGTAAGAATAACACATGGTTTTTGCCTTCCAGAAATTTACTACAGGAGATAGCTCCATTGTCAAGCTGTAGGAGGTTCATGTTGTAACAATTTTATCTATAACGTGCCTATATCTATATAGGGTCTACCATGTTCCAAACACTATCTGAATGTCCAAAATGATATATATGCATATATGGCTTCCAGTCCAGTCCCGGCTCTCACAGATCTCACTGAATAGATATGTGTGTAACTATGTATATCATAAGGAGCTCTGGTAGCGTAGTGGTTACGAATCGGGCTATGAACCGCAAGGCCAGCAGTTTGAAACTACCAGCGATTCTGTGGGAGAAAGATGAGGCTTTCTGCTCCCGTAAAGATTTACAGCCTCGGAAACCCTGTGCAGGGTCACTATGAGTCAGAACCGACTCCACAGCACTTAACAACAACAACAACAACAACATGTGTATCGTAATCTATACAGTGAAATCTTTGAGACCCACTACTGGATGGGGCAGCCTTGCTGGGGCTCAAAAGTTTTCCACCTTTGGCAGGGTGCAATCTCACCACTTTCTAATTCTCCTTTTAAGGAAAATATTTGAGTTTTCTTTCCCTGACAGGTTTCTGCCTTATACAGGTTCTGGGCTTCACAGGTTTTACTATATCTCATGATAACAAGCCAGTGAAGGAAGTTGAGGAAACTTAAGGACAGAGTTGAAGTAACTTACCCAGGCCCACTCATCTAGTTAGTGGCAGAGCTTGGACTGAAACCCAGGCAGTCTGTACCAGTCTAGCCTTTCTCCATCCATTAGACCACTCAGCTTTCTGCCTCTCATGAGTCATTTCTAAAGAATCATTATCTAAAGAAAACAAAGGAGGTAAGCATTTCTCTGGCAGAATTAGGAATGGCTTATTGAGGATGAGCGGCATGTGAGTGGAATCTAAAAGGATTACAGTTGTGTCTACAGATGGAGGATTGGAGGGATGGTGTAGGGAGGCACGTTAGACTGAAGGCACATGATGAGCGAAGGCCCAGAGGAGGCAGGAAATGACTGGGCGCCTGCAGGGTTGTAGTGAGGACTGAGACTGGGAGGTGGTTTACCACTAAACCACCAAGGTCTTAGTCAGTGGTAAGCCATTGAAGATTTGGAAGGAAGAGAGTAACACAGGCTGACTTGTGTTTTCAAAGTTCAGCTCTGGCAATCATTTGCAGAGGCAAAAGATGGGGAAAGAAGTGTGAAGCTACTGCAGTAGTCTGGAAAATGACTTAAGCCAGAAGCCCATCCCAGCAGGGTCCTGGTATTGTTGTTAAGTACTGTGGAGTTGGTTCTAGCTCATATAAACCCCGGATATGGTTTTCAAGGAGTAGTTGGTGAGTCTGAACCACTGACCTTGTAGTTAGCAGTCCAGTGCTTATCCTACGGTGTCACACCTGGATCCTGTGGTAGGGGAAAATCCCTGAGGATGAGGGACCATTCAAATGACCTGTTCTTTGTCTAGTAGAGACTTGAAACCCTGGCTTTTGGGCTGAGATTAGTTGTTGTTAGGTGCCATTGAGTCGGTACTGACTCATAGTGAACCTATGCACAATAGAACAAAACCTTGCCTGGTACTGCGCCAACCTCACGATCATTTTGCTACGTTTAAGCCCATTGCTGCTGCCACTATACCAATCCATCTCATTGGGGGTTTCCTCTTTTTCACTGACTCTCCAATTTACCCAATTTGATATCCTTCTCCAGAGATTGGTCTCTTCTGATAGTATGTACAAAGAATTGAGAGAGGAAGTCTGGCCATCCTGGTTCCAAGGAGCATTCTAGATGTACTTCATCCAACACAGATTTGTTTGTTCTTTTGGCAGTCCATGGTACTTTTAATATTCTTCCCCAGTACCGTAACTCAAATGCATCAATTTTTTTTATGATCTTCCTTATTCTGTCCAACTTTCACATGTGTATGAGGCTATTGAAAAATTCACAGCTGATGTCAGGTGCAGTTTAGTCCTCAAGCTGACATCTTTGCTCTTAAACACTTTAAGAGTTGAACACTTCTTGCAGAAGATTTACCCAATGCAATATGCCGTTTGATTTCTTGGCTTTAGTGGTTAGTGCATACATTTGAATAATAGTGTTATTAACTGATCTTCCTTGTAATCATCTGAATACTATCCTATCATAGACAATGTTGTACTTCATGACAGATCTTGATATGTTCTTTTTGATGGTGAATGGAATGCCATTCCTCTTTAACGTTCCTTCCCTATATAGTAAACTAGGTGATGGTCAGATTCAAAATGGCCAACACCAGTCCATTTCAACTCACTTATGCCTAGGACAGCGGTTCAAGCTCACCAGTGTCGCTATGGGTCGGAATCGATTCGCCAGCACTTCACAACAACAACAACATGCCTAGGATAGCGATATTTTAGCATTCCATTTAAATTTTGACAACTTGAAATTTTCCTATATTTATACTTATTGCATTCCAAATTCTGATTATTAATGGATGTTTACAGCTGTTTCTCTTCATTTTGAGTTCCCCATCAGCATATGACGGTCTTGAAGGCTTTGCTTCATTAGTGTCATCACAATCAACTCTATTTTCAGGAGGCAGCTCTCCCCCAGTGGTGTTTTGAGTGCCTTCCAACCTGAGGGGCTCATCTTCCAGCACTATATCTGACAATATTTGTGTGCTCTTCCTCATTTTTCAATATTCAATATTCTCGTTCTGACAGAGTTCCACTGCTGTTCATAAGGTTTTCAGTGACCAAATATTCAGAAGTTGTCCCTCTCTCCTTCTTCCTAGTCTTTCTTTGTCTGGAAGCTCAGCCTAGGTATGTCCACTGTGGGTGACCCTGCTGATGTTTAAAATACCCCTGGCATAGCTTCCAGAATCACAGCAACACTCAAGCCTCCACAGTACTACGAACTGCCTGATGTACGGTGGTTGGCTGAGAGAGACCCTATTCAGAAGAACTGTAGCTGTGCCTTAAGCAATTTATTTTACTAGTAACAGCTGTTCCTAATTATTTAGGTGCTGTCCCCCTCCATTGAGGCAGATTGCTTAATACATTTGTGAAGAAGAAAGCAGGCCAGTCAGTAGATTGTCTTTACAGATGTATTTCTGGAAAACGTAGATAAGGACACTGAGTCGGTGTAATATATGGTGATAGGATTCCTTGTGTTTTCCATCTCTTTGTCCTTGGCACCTAAGTTCAGTGTGTGTGTGGCGCAGAGTAGATAGTTAACAAGCATGTTGCAAATGAATTAGGAAAGTGAATCAGCAGAGAATCTTCTTTCCATAACACACTCTGCACTGATTTAGATGTTTGCCCTGTGGTAAGGGTGAGAGGCAGTCAGTACTGGGAGTGGGGATAGAAGCAGCAAAATGGCTTTTGCTCAATTGTCACAAAAGGACTTAGCCGCAGGGCCCAATTGTACTGAATGTTTTCACAAGCATTCTTCTCTTTAGGGAAGGCTGTGAAATGAAAAATACCACAAATTTTCGTGGAGGGAAAAGAGCTGGAGCTGAGAACTGCCTTTCCATGAACATCCGTCAAATAGATCTCTCCAGTCACTTGGCAGAACACAGATAAACATAGTTTAGATTTGGGTTGTAGCACGAAACCTAATGCTTGAGTGACACACATCACATGAAAAGGAGTGCAGTCTGCTCCCGGTTTTCTTTCCCAAGGGATAAATTGCTTCCTGGGAGAAAAAAAAAGATTGAGTCATTCTGGGAGGCTCCAGTAGGCAGCAAGAAACTGGAAAGATATTATTCCTCATTCCTTTGGTTCTATGCTGTACCAGGTTGTCAAGGATAACGTTTCCTAATCAGGGGTTTGAGATTCTTTGTGGAATTACAGATACACCTAGTAGTTATGAGTCAGCCTGCTAACCTCAAGGTCAGCAGTTGGAAACTCCGCAGGAGAAAGATGCGGTTTTCTGTTTCCATAAAGATTTACAGTCTCGGAAACCCTATACAGGGTCAGTAAGAGTCAGAACTGACTCCACGGCACATAACTACCAACACCACCACCCTTGGCATACTAGTAAATCTCCAGCATGTAGCAAACGTCTGACACATAGTAATTTTTTTTTGACGTTTTTATTGTGAATTGAGTGATAGTTTACATGGGAGAACATCGGCTTTACAGTCACCATTTCATTGCAGTGATTACCATCTCCTCTGTGCATCATCATGCAACAGTATTTGCTTCTATACCCTCTATTTTTGTTTTTTATGTACACAAAAACACTCAGGAATATATAATCATTTAAACAACAAAAGGGCACATTCTACAAACCTGCCCCCTGGCCACAAGCACACAGCCTTTCTCTTTCTATGAGTCTGGAGTCCTCAGCTGCTCTATTTCTCCATGTCCTCATTTCTGCCTCCATCTCTGGTTTGCTGCTTCTCTGGATAGAGTCCCACATTCTGCTCATGCTCTTCTCCCATGGTGGTCCTAGGGTCCTCTGTTCCTGAACTGTAAAATTAACTATTCCCCGCTTTTTGTCAAGAACTTCTACCTTTACTGTTGTGACAGTTGCAATTAGTCATGATAACAGTTACTCACTATTGAATCATAAGAATATTATCCCCATATCTTTTCACCAGACCCATCTAGACAAGATGAAAACTATTCAGTGGGGATTCTACCTACCCACACACACTCTGAAACTAAACTTCCTCTTGAAAACTTGTAAGCCAGTCACTTAATGCCTTTACAGTGCTCCCCCCACCCCCATTTTAGGTAGCCAATGTCTAAGTTGCCCATCCCTATCAACTCTGTATACAGAGGGGATAGGATTGATGACTTCAGGCTAAGACTCTTTCCCTCTCAGTTGGTATTTTGAGCTACTACATCCATAAGTACAGGTCAAGTTCATTAAATTGTAGCTTGTTTCCTTCATCAAAAAAAAATTTTTTTTTAATCTTCCTCTAGTCGAGTTCTGATCAAGTCATTGAAGCTAGGTCTAATGGGTACTATCTACAAGTTTGGGCATTCTTGTGTGTCTCCCCTCACTTCATATCAGCTGGATGCTTTGCTTTCAGCTCTAGCCCTCCATGGCTATGTCCTTGTCCATGGGCTCAGGAGTCCCCAGGTCTCATCATACTTCAGACCAACCAGCCCTTCCCTTTGTCTCTCTCATCTCCAGATCAATGGGAGTCTATGGAATGCAGTTGAACTTAGCTCATTGCTTCATTGCTGCCTTTCCCCCTCTTCCACTCATCAGTAGACCAATGTGGTTGCCAGCAAGCTTACAGGCTTGCTCACGTGTTCCCTTTGAGCACATAGTGATATTTAATAATTTTTTGTGGGATGAAAAGCAATGGTTGGGGTAGCATCCTTGGTGGAATCATCTCACTGCCTTTCTGTACCTGCGTGTAAAAGGGAGACTTAGAGACTATGTAGTTCTCCTTTTCAGGGGACTGCTGTTATAAGTGGAGGATAATCTCAGTTCTAACCATTCTACTCTGAAAGTCATGGGTATGTAGGAGTTCTGGTTGTAGTCATTTTTGAGGGCTCCAGAACCTGAATATGCTTTACAGTGATATGGTTTGAAAATGAGGACGCATATTCTTGCTGCTTGCAAGAATCTCTTCAACAACCCTTCAGGTACCAGTGAAAAATCAGATTTATTAATGAACATGTCTTGGTTGAGTATATGTTCATTGCAGACCACTTTGCAGATATCACAACAAGTAGGATTTTAATACTATTTCTGTGAATATGCAAAGACAGGTATTTATAGACCCAGTGCTTTACAAATTCATTCCAACATTCTTGTGTCTATCCTCACTACCAAAAACAAGACCTGGCCAGTGACAGCAAAGTAATAAATACTGTTGACAAATGTTGGTGGATCAGTGGAATGTCTCTGCAAATAAACACAGCAAGATACAGTCTTGCGTTGATATCCAGATGTGCGAGATGTAGACACTCACCATGCTGGTGTAGGCATAAAGAGGCACATATAGATGAGTCTATATTTACCCACTGTGCTGTTTCTTCACTCACCCAGTAAGCATACGAATGTTGTTGTGTTGTGTGCTGTGAAGTCTGTTCATAATGAGCCTGTGTAGGACTTAAGAGGATGACTTGTGGATTTGCACTGCCAATCTTGCTGTTACTTACCCGACCCAAGCACCACACAAGGACTCAGGCATAAGGACAGAAAGGTGAATAAGATATTCTTTATGGAGTGCTTCCATAAAGAATACAGCTTTGGGAAGCCTATGGAGCAGTTCTACCGTGTCCTAGAGGGTCACTGTGTGTTGGAAAGGCAAAGGCTCGGCTTTGGGTTGATTCATTAGATACAGACCCTCTTGCATTTGGACTGTTTCAGCATGGAAGGAACAGTGATTTTGAGGCATTAGACCATACCATAAACACTGAACTTTGAACCACATAGTCAGCAGTTTGAGTCCGTCAGCTGCTCTGTGGGAGAAAGGTGAGGTTTTCTGCTCCTGCCGAGATTTAAAGGCTTGGAAACCCTATAAACGAAATGGCTCATTGGCTCTTAACAACAAGGACAACAAGGCCAGAATTCAGGCTGTAGTTCTACCACTGGACATAACTTGCCTGGCTACTTAGTACAATGCCTTGGTGGCTGAAGGAAAAGTACAATCCATTATCCTAATTTCACAGGGTTACTAAATTAATGAAAATAACAAAAGAAGTAGCTCAGCCATGTGGTATTCCAAAAGTAATTTCACTCTCTGGGTCACAGTGTCCCGATTTGAACCAAAAGGAAAAAGTTTTAAAAGTTTGACTGTATTAGTATCAGATTTTCCTTTTGCTTTAAAGCTTTTGTTTTTGTGTTTTGCTTTACTTTGTTGTTTATTTTTTGCTTTTGGGGGGTTTTGTAACTCTAGTTGTCAGTAAATACTTGTTGGTTAGTTTTTATGAGAAAAAATTTCAATTATAAATGTGAAAGAGATTTGAAATATGTACTAACATTTATTCATAATATAAAAATGAACACTGTTCTTCATTCCAGTAAGTAAAACTGTAATCCATCTATAAGTTACTGGTTTGTTGTTCTGTATGATTACAGATTTGGGAAATCTTCACTTTGTGAAATATGTTCCTAGTGTAACAGATGTTTACTAATTCTCAAAGTTCCAAGAATCTAATTTTATCCAAGTCAATTTCTACTTAACAAATAACATTGAATGCCCCAAGTGTGCCAGAAATTGTGATGGGTGTTTTGGGTACAAGGCTAAGACACTGTGTCTCTGCTTCATGTGAGTGGAAAGAAGGTAGAACCCATCATGTGGTGGGTTCAGAGAGAAGTAGGGTTAAGAGAGTTTTGGGGATAGACAGAGGAGAAAGGCATTATCTGTTACATGGGATGGGGGCAGGTTAGGAGATGATACTTGATTTAGAGATTAGTAAATGAAAAGACATTTATCATGTGAAAAGAAGTGGGTTGGAAGAGGAGAAGATGAGAATTCTAAACAGAAGGGAAAACATGTGTAAAGATACAGGTAGGTATAAAGAAACTTGGCAATTTGGGTAGCCAAAGTCATTTTATGTAACTTAGAGCATGGAGAATGGGGTGTAGGGTGAAAGAATTGGAGAGAAGAGAGTAGATGAAGCCAGACATATGTACTGGAATCAGCTTGTAAAACACCTTATCTTTCATTCTGAAAAGACTGTAGCTCCCAGATAGATTTCTAACACATATATTATTACAATGAGAAGTTTCCCTAAATTCTAGAAGTAGGAATACAAATAAGTAAGAAATGTGAATGCAAGCATGAATGTGTAAATTAGCAAGGCTGAATTAGCCATGGGTGTTGAAAGACCCTAAAAAAGAGCATTTTGTGATGGCAAGCATGCCCCAGGAAGTGAGTGTTTTGCATTATGACATATGTGATAAGTGTGTGAACAGTGCTGACCCTCCATTGGTATATGAGGGGGCTTCAAAAATTTTGTGGAAAAATGTAATTAAAAGATAATGGAATTTTTCCATGAACTTTTTGTGTGGATAGTATTAGACTTTAACTTTATTATAGTTATTATTATTATTATATCATGGACAATAATTGTTGTATTGCTGTTGACAGTGGTGTAGAGACACACATGACTGGAACACTCTTGTGTAGACCAACCGAGAAAGTGGGTCAGATCTTGTGAAAGGCAATAGAGTGGCAGGGTCCAAGTAGAGATGTTGGAGTGCTGGAGTGTGTTGTGTGTATGCAGCTGTGATTGAGTGCCCTCTGGCATGGAGGATAATGTTCCATTTGTCAGTAGATACTATTGTTCATATTGGTGGTGGTGGTGTTTATGTGCCATGGACTCACTTCCAACTCATAGTGACCCTGTCCCTGTATAGGGTTTCCAAGGAAGTCAATCTTTACAGGAGCAGAAAGCCTCATCTTTCTCCCACAAAGTGACTGGTAGATTTGAACTGCTGACCTTACGGCTAGCAGCCCAGCTCTAAGCCACTGTGCTACTAGGGTTCCTTTTGTTAGCATTAGAGGAAAAAAAATAAAATAACATTAGAAACAAGCGATTTTGTGACTATTTTACTTCTCTGGGACACCAGTGTTGATTTTTTTTCCCTATAAAATGCAAAGGTTGGGTTTGAGAATCTCTAAAATTTATTCCAGCAATGAATTCAATGCTTTAAATAGTCTCCTTTAGTTTAAAGTAAGAGGTCAATTTAACGGTGGGGCTAGTGCATGAATGTATGACTTAGCTACTCTCTACAGAGCTTGTTACATACCATATGTAAAAAATCCATTGATATAACTTTTTTTCCCCTGCTTTTTAGATGGTTGAACACTTTAGGAATGTTGGCCAACCAGGGCATCGATGTTGTGATACGGCACTCATTTTTTGACCATGGATACAATCACCTTGTGGACCAGAATTTTAACCCCTTACCAGTAAGTGTGAGATAAAGATCCCCAACTTCTTTTCATGTCATCCAGTACTATTGCTCATTCCTTGTTCTCACACTGAAAGAATGGTCTTCACTTTCTGCTACCAGTTAAGTTCATAAATCAAATAGAAGCATTCTTGTCTTCTATTCCTTTGACCCATTTCATAGACTTTTGGTTTCATCACTCACAGACACACACACACACACACACACACATATACACATGTTGCTCTTGTTGTTGTTGTTAAGTGCTGTTGAATCAATTCTGACTCATAACGAATCTGTGTAGGGTCTCCAAAGAGCAGCTCATGGATTTCAACCACCGACCTTGCAGTCCTGTGCATTATCCCAAAGTGCTACACCAGGACTACACATACACATGTATACAGAAACACAAATATCTGTCTAGACCCACATATACACATAACTATATGTACACCCACATACACACCTAGATGTCCTGGTGTGGCACTATAGCATAAGCATTGGACTGCTAACTATAAATTCAGCAGTTTAAACCCATCATCCTCATCTACTCCTCGGAAACCCCATGCAGGGTCTCTATGAGTTGTAACCAACTTGACAGCACTTCACAACTATAAAAGCACATATGGGAGGGCTTCATAAAGTTTCTAGAAAAATCTCATTATCTTTTCATTCAATTTTCTTACAAAATTTGTGAAGCCCCCTCATCCTGTGCCTCTGTAGGGTAGCACTGAACTACTAACCACAAAGTCAATGGTTCAAACCCACCACTATCTCCTTGGAACCCCTGAGTCAGAATGGACTAGACAGCACTAGACAACAACTTAACAGCAACACACCGTTACCCACATAGACATGCAAGAATATACATGTATAGATAATTATTTAATATGTTTATTTACTGGACTTTTTGAAGAAACCTTGCACAGTTGAGATTCTACTTCTACTGGTGGCCTGTTTGAACTCTGCTTGAGAGTGAATTTTTCCAGATTGTTTTCTTCTAATGCTAATAAGAGACATTAGTTCATGTCAAATGCTACATGGTGAAAGCAGATAGGGGAGTATGAGCCAAGATCAGATACAGTAGGAACCCCCCCTCTTTTAGGGTGTAGATGAAGTGTGCTTACAGTTAGATGTTGATCCCCATGTGACAACGAGGGGGTCTGCCCACAGCACAGTCTCCTCTAGACAGTGAAGGCTAAAGCAGAATAGTAAACGAGATCTGAGTGAGTCCAGTGACTTTCTTAGCCAATCAGAAAATTCCCACTGAGCCAGGAGTTCAGGCTTCTCGGATGAACTAAAGAAAGTCTTATCCTTCCTACAGTTGGCATGGTTGTGGTGAAAGGTCAAACTTCTCTCATCAACTCCTAGAAGTCAGAGCTGCAATTCCTCTTCTAGAAGGCCTGGTTCTGCCTCACTTAACAGAGGGCCTAGCAGCTTGGAGTGTGGTGGAGACGGGGTGGTGTAGATACAGCCTTAGAAGCTGTCCCTCTGCCCTGGTCCAGTGCTCGTCCTTCCTTCACAATCACTGACGCCCTGGGCATTACAGTAAACAAATAAAACCAGAACCGGAACTAGGGTCTCTCCCCACGTATCCCCAGCTCCACCCTAGACCACTTAGAAGTCTCCTAGACCAAAACAGAGAATGAATAGATTGGCACCGGGCAGCACCATTTCCGTGCCTCAACCAAATCCCTCCAGGTTAGAGCTCTAAGTAATTACTGCGTCACTGGTTGTAAAGGACTCCGATCAAATTACAAATATTTGCACCAGCTGGTACAGTTGCTTTCATTCACAGGGCAAAGACAGCTTTCTCAAAGTTGTGTGTGGAGGTGAGGTGGGGAGGAGTCAGGAGGTAGTGATTAGGTTTGGAACCATAAGCTTTTACTGTTTGGGTTTTGTTTTTGAGGTAACTCATAAACTTCTGGAGTCAAAACAAGTGAATAATTAGAAAAGCATCTATGAAATATAAGCATTAAACAAATATAATGTCACACAAAAATAAATATGTATTGACCATTAGGCTCTGGGAAGGAAACTAGTAATATTTGGATATAGATGAATGGATGGATGAATGGATGAAGAGAGAAAGTACTGGGAATCACTGAAGGCTACTTTGAAGTGGGCGTAGAGAGAAGGCTTCTCTGAGAAGGTGACATGTAAGTCTAGAGCCCAAGACCATAAGGAGCCAACTATGCAGATTTCACAGAAGAGTTTCCAAGGCAGGAGAAAGGAGATAATGCAAAGACTCCAAGGCAGGAACAAATTTAGCATGTTGGAGAAAACACAAGAAGAACACAGTAGCTGGGTCATGGTAGGGAATAGGAGACTGGTTCTAAGTAACATGGGTTATGTGTCAGATCACAGTGAGCTTAGCAAGTTAAAACATGTACTTTTTGTTGTTGTTCCAGAATCATATGTTGAGAAGCTTTGTTTACTCATTAAATCGCTTTCACAAATTTGTCAAAAATTAACGAATTTGTTAAGTGTAGGTCTATTTCTGGAATTTCTGTTTAATTCTGTTTGTCCATCATTTGGTCAATAGCTCACTGATCAGATTCTCTAAGGGCTGACCTTAAGTTGTATGTGTCCCAGTTTGTTCTGTTTCAAGGCTGATTGTGTTTCTGTAAGTCTTCTGCATTTCCCTATACATTTTAATAACAACTTGTCAGTGATACAATTTGGGGAGAATTGCTATGATGAAAATAGAAGCCTCTCAATTCATGATGTATCTTTCTATTTTATTTTATTTTTTTCATTTTAGCCTTGCTTTGTAAATTTAGGTTTTAATGTTTTAAGTTTTTATTGTAAACTGAATGATAGAATATCAGCTTTACACCATCGTTTCATTGCAATGATTACAATCTCCTCCATGCATCATCATTTAATAGTATTTGCTTCCATTCCTTCTGTTTCTTATGTGGGGGTTTTTTTGGGGCGAGGGAGTGCTGTATACAAAAACACTCAGAAATATATAATAATTTAAACAACGAAAGGGCACGTTCTGCAAACCTGCTTCCTGGCTGCCAGCACCCAGTCCCTCTCTTTCCATAAGTCCAGAGTCCTCAGCTGCTCTGTCTCTCCATGCCCCCATCTCTGCCTCCATCTTTGGTGTCGCTGCTTCTCTAAATAGGGTCCCACATTCCACTTGTGTTCTTCTCCCTTGATGGTCCTAGGTCCTCTGTTTCTGGACTGTACAATTAACTACTCCCCCTGTTTTTGTTACAAAACTAAAAGAAGATGTACTTTTAATGTAAGTAACATGAAAATCTATTAAGAGTTCTTAAGCAAGATCAAAATGGTTTTCCAAAGATCACTGTGGCATAATTAATGCATCATATGGTGTGGTGTTTTTAGCAATGTAAATAATACTTAACAATTTCCAGATCATTTTAACATATGCTACTTAATAATGGAGCTCTGGTTGCGTAGTGGTTACCAATTGGGCTGCTAACCTAAAGGTCAGCAGTTCAAAACTACCAGCCATTCCACAGGAGAAAGATGAGGCTTTCTGCGCCCATAAAGATTTACAGCCTCGGAAACCCTGTACAGGGTCGCTATGAGTCAGAACCAACTCCATGGTACTTAACAACAACAACTTAATAATGCTCTGAAAATTCTGTCCTCCCTTGTGTCTTTTCTTTTTTCTCCTTTCTTTCATGCTTATTTTCCTTGATTCCTTCCTTTATTCATTCAAAAACATCTTGATCATGGCCTATGTGCTGATCACACAGTATTCAGGCACGGGGGATACTGAGGTAAGCAAAAAAGTCAAGGACCCTGAATTCCTGAAGCATATTATCAAGGGAAACATATTAAGAAACGGAAAATAAATATACAAATAAAATATTGGAGAGTTTGTCATAATTCTCTGGTGAGATAAGTATGATTATTTATACTGATTTTATAGAAGAGAAAGTAAGGTTCTATGAAGTTATAAAGTGTTTTATCCAAGGTTACATAAGTAATAACAACTATAGTTGTCTATCTTAATTTTCTTTCCATTATTCCACATTCTTTCTTGGGAGTACTCTCTTTGGTGTCCATGCCAATATTTTCCTCAGAATTGAGTGGAGATGAAAACAGAAATCTTGAAGAACTGGAGAGAAGAAAATCTAGACAATGAAAGATGGTCTTTGGGTGACTAAGTAGTCTTGATGTCCAGAGTTAGACAGACTTGAATTCATTATCAATTCTCTAAGTATATTTGCATGGCGGTGGGTAGGTTAAGATGCCAGTCATCAAGGCTTTGTTCTCCCTAGATGAGAGTTGCTGCCAATGGCTTCCTTTAAAAGAATGGCACAAGAGATCTTGGTTGTTACAGGATGCCAGCAGAACTCATAGAAATTCATAGAAAGCTAAAGCAAATCCCATTGATTTACCACAAAGACTCCAATGAGCTGGGCAGCTGAATTTCTGCAAACACCAAACTCTAATAAAGAAACTGTATGTAAAAGCACTTTTAAAAAAATAGTAGGATTTCTTTTTATCTTCTTTTGTGCTAGTAAATTCTACACTTTATAAGTCGAGAACTTGGCTGCTGGGAGACTATGTCCTAAGTCTCCCTTAGAAAGAATTTACAAGGCTAGACCAGGGCACCAATCTGAGAGATATTGCCTGCAGGCCCCTTGATTGTGGAATGGAGACAGACCAGAGAATTGTATTGGTTGCCACTTCAGAGAGTTATGCAGCTGATAACCTAGCACTGCCAATAAAAACTTGTGGATTTTACACTGTGATTAAATTTTCAAGAGAGTTTGTTAAGAGTGGCGGGGATTCGAGAGTTGTGTTTTGGTCGCCTCCCAGAAAAATCAGTATTTTTGTTCCAACTCTTTCGACCCACACAGTGCATTTCAGGAAAGGATTTTATTAGAAAATATGGTTTGGGTTTTGTTTTTGTTAGCTTCATTGGGTAAATTCAGATTAAAAATGAAACCATTGATCCATTGGATACTCAATCCGTATTACCTCCTTCTTATCTTTTATCTCAGTTTGTCTGATTCTGGCTTTGCGTTGATT